CTAAGAGCTGTATATTGCTACTTAACAAAATACTCCACCTATCATTTTTACCTTAGGAGACACTGGACTAATGCTTTCCCCCTCTTTGTGGGTGCATTAAAAAAAAAAAAATAGACCATTTGGGGATTACCAGAGATTAGAGGATAAGAATTTTTAAAAATGAATCTCGTTTTATTGTCTATCACTATTAGCTTCTTGCTTGGCTCTCTTTCGGTGAGTGAACTCCTGGTCTCTGACTTCTTGAACATTTTTTCTTTTTTATCCTTTGTTCCTTCCTTAGAGAAAGAAAGGCCTGTTATAATAGAAATGAGTAATCCAGTGGTATCCCGCTGCTACTCCCTACTGCTCCTTGTCTCTCCTTCTTGCATATACGTGTTGTCACACACAAGTATAATGTATACAGCTCAGACATTTTAACAGACGCCTCCACCCAGCCTGCCCCTAATGTAGTTGCCAACCCAACGCCTCACTTCCAGCCGCTGGAGAACAGATTGCTCGTTACATCACTCAAGCGTATTGTTCTCATTTCTCCCTATAGCATATGTTCCTTCTAGATGCTTTTTAGCTCATAGTTGGGGAGAGGCAAAACATATTCTGCATTTTAAGATTAATATTATATATCCTTGACTTTTACAAGGATAGACACCCTAGGAACTGACGTTTAATAGATGTTAATGGAATTTAATTTGTACACACCCTACGTAAGAACATATATCTTTGAAATAAAATGCTATGAAACCTTCCATGGTACTAAGAAAATTTCAAAACACATTATTTTTCACTCTATATCCTTAAATCAAGCTAGAGTTTGAGCAAAGTGGAAAAGCTGTTTCTTGATATTTAGAATTTAAAACATGAATATAATTATCATTAATTTATTACACTGAGAGTATCAATGGGCATTTTGCCAGAGTTATTACCAGCACAAAACAATTCTAAAGTGGTGCCTAAAAAGAAACTTTTTTCACAACCTACTTTTCCATTGGTTTTCATTAGGCAAGAAGTTCTTTCTGCAGTAAATAAGTGAATAAATAAATAAATCTGGCTCCAAACATATTAAATAATAAACAACATGATAAATGTTGCATAAATTTTTATGTAAGAAAAAAAACTCTAATAAAGCAATACCACTCAGAAGTACTTGTAAAATTATAGGTACTTGACAGTGCGTGTTGAGTAAATTAATTTGTTCTAAGGCTATGCCTAGGAGCATAATAGCCACTTGTTTTTATAAGTACATTTTTGTCTTGATGTGAAATATAGTTCAATTTTAGATTTTGGTTAATGTTATGATTCATAGAATTTAGATAATTAAAGATATTAGAAAATATCACCTTTGTAATCTTCCTAATTCATGAATGAATATATAAAAAACTATCTATTTATCCTCTACATATTTAAAATGCTGAAACCTCTCCAGTTCCAATTAATGAAGAAACCCCTTCTCTTTTTCCTTCAGTGACTGGCACTGGAATGCCAACCTAATAAACATTTGATGAGTAAATGAATGGTTTTGACAGAAGCCAGGCACTTACAGAAAAAACGAGGTAATAGGGCAACATTGCGAGGAACATACGAGGAAACAGATCCTGTTCTTGTCCTGGTTCTGTCATGGGTTAGCTGTGTGATCTTAGGTAAGCAACTAGACCCTCTTGAGCCTTGATTTCTTCCATGTAAATGTGTATTTCTGAGATAATCTTGAAGGGCCTCCTACTTTTCGAACCCTAGTTCAAAATCTTAAAATTAGCCAATCATTCTTGCCAGTTTGACTTTGGACTTTAGCCATAGGTAGAGACACATTTAGGCTATAAAACCTCAGCATTTGAAATCATATTAGTAGCCTCTAGAACTAACTCTGTTTAGGTTCACTGGGCTAAGGCAAGCAGTAGAAAGACAGGAGCCTGGGTGGTTCTGTAGGTTAAGGGTCTGCCTTCAGCTCAGGTCATGATCTCAGGGTCTTGGGATCCAGTCCCACACTGGGCTTTCTGCCCAGCAGGGAGTCTGCTTCTTTTCCCTCTGTGCTCTCCCTCTCTTTCTCAATAAATAAATAAAGTCTTGGGGAAAGAAAAAAGACAGTAGCCTGAGGGTTCACACATAAAAGATGTGAGCAAGTGTAGGAGACAATAGAAGTAGAAGGATATCTACAGGAAGCATCATAGTTCACAAGTCTCCAGATAACAGGTTTTCTCTAGAGGTAACAGTAAGTTTTATTTATGTCTGATTAACAACTGATTACTTTATAAAAGGTTTCCCTTCTGAAGAGAGCACTAGAATGCTTTATTTCCTAATTGGATGGTGACGTTACCCATAAATAAAAGAGAATCACTGCTGCTTATTGGAGTATCAGTTTGACATGGCAGGTTTGTTCTTGTCTCCGTCCTGATTTACTGTATGACCCTGGGCCAGTCATTTATCTTCCTCCAAACCAGTTTCACTAATTATAAAATGGAAATAAAAATACTTGCTGCCTTCACATAGGATTAATGAGACAAGGTGAATGTCTAAGCTCCCCCGGGGAGAGGCTGTATATAAGTAAACAGATAATGGCTAAGCAGAAGTGCAGGGCTTTCCACAAAACTTGGGAAAGAAAAAATCCACAACGATAAAACCCCAGGGCTTTAAGTTTCCTAGTCTACAAGAAAGGGGGCTCTCTTCTTATAAACGGGCCAATTTTTCCTCCAGCGTACCCGGGAGCCTGGGAAGGTCAGTTGCCGGGAGACAGGCGCTGAGTTGACTCCTCCAGAGTTCTAACCCTTTCTCCTTCGTGAACAGTGACATCCTGGGAGGCAAATTAGTGTTCTGCTTCCTCAATTTCTTCTTCTGTAAAATACCGGTTATAATACGTAGTCACAGACAAGGAGACGCAAGCATGGATGCCTGACATACAGTGAGGCCTAAATAATTATCTCCTAGGTCTTCAGCAGCATAATTCAAACTGCTGGAATATTTTCCTCCTAAAAATCAAAGGCTCTGATGACAGAGAGTTGGGGAATAAAGGTAGACGTGATGTAACATTTGTGATTTGAAAGGGGCTCAGGGAACTAAAATAAATTTGATTCAGCTCACTTATGCTGAATAAAAGGTGTTTGGACAACGCCTTAAAATTCGCGTGTGCGACCGCAAGGGGACAGTGTGAGTCTGCTTTGGCGTTGGAGAGGCAACAGCAGCGCGGGGCCGAAAGGGCTGGACGCTTCTAGCATCCCAGCACCCTGGAGAAACACACCCCCTAGTTCGGGCTCGGGAAGGCGTGGCCTTGATGACCCAGTTGTGGGTGGGGGCTGACAGCTCTACGCTGGGGTTCCCCTCCGACTCCGCAACAGGTTTCTTCCCGGCAGGTTCTTCCTGGCGGTTATCGTTCCTAATGTGGGATCCGCTAGTGTCTGAGCTTGGGAACCCAGACACCCTTCCTCTACCACCCCCAAACCGTGGGGAACATTTGGGGTGTGCCTCTGCGTCGGGTGTAGGCAAAAGAGTCAAAGCTGTCTTTTGGTTCTTTAAGAGATCCATGTCCCTAAAGGGGTTAAGCTCTTCTGATTCAGGAAAAGAGGACCTCCTCTCCCTAAAACAAAACAAATCAAACAAAAACAAAAAGCCCAAAGCGCGGTTTTGGAAAGGACTCTGAAATCACCAGGTGTCCGTCTCCAAGGTCCGGGCCCCCGGATGGCACTCCCCTCCGGGATTCCTTCAGGGACAGCGCCCAGTTTAGGTCCTGAAACACCTCAGGTGCGAAGTTGAATCGCCCTTCTGCGAAAAGGAGACAGTGAACTTGCCCCACCGAGTACCTGGACCAAAATGATCTTAGCCCAAGAGGTCAGATGATTAAGGAAATTTAGGCGATGCACTGCCGCTCGGGTCCCCACGCCCAGGCGTTTGCCAAGCAGCAGCAAGACAGGCGAATTGGGTTGATTCTGTTCCCTAGAGAGAAAGTGCCGCGGGCGGAGATGTCCGAGCGTCTCTAAAGCGAGGGGATGGTAGCGTGCCAATGTCCCCGCGATCCCGGGCGGGAGGAATGAGCTCTTCTCCCCAGGCTCCAGGACGGAGCGCCTGGAAGCGACCCTGGGGACAGCTGCCCGGAGAGCCCGGGCTGAATTCACTGAGGGCGGACCGGACTGGAAGCACAGTGGAGACTAGGGTCAAAGAACCTGGCAGATAGTACGGGGGGAAGGGAGCGGAATGCGCCTGCCGAGGGGAAAGTACGACCCATCCCAAACTTTCGCAGACTCAGGGGGCCAAGGAAGGGCGAGCCAGGTAGAAGCACCAGCTTCTTCCGCCGCCCCGCGCGCCCAGCTGCAGTGAGAAGGGGCGGCACGCAGTGCGGGCTGGACGCGGGCGGCCTCCTGGTCGCGCCCACCCGCCGGGCTAACGTGCCACCGCGCGGGGCTCTGGGCCGGCGTCCACGGAAGAAACCAGACCGCTCCCGCCTGCGCGCCGGCTCCGAGGAAGGGGCGTGTAGCTCGGCTTGGGCGAGGAGGAGGGAAACTTGGCCTCGCAGCCTCGCCCGACCAGGTCGGGCGGCGGGGACGTGCCCTTGGGCGGCGGGCGAGCCCGCCGGCTGAAGTCGGGGAGGCTCGGGAAGAAGTGAGCGCAGAGCCGTCCACGACTAGCGAAATCGGCTTAAAAAGAAATGTACAAAGCGATCCAAGGCCGCCGCGGGAGTCCGGCAGCTTAGAAGCCACCCCCCGGGCACCAGGAGGACGGCTGCGACTCGCCCTCGCGAAGACGAGGCGCTCCTGGGCGGCCGCGGGTCTGCGCGGAGGAGCCGCCTCCCCAGCGTGGGGCGCGCATTCAGACGCCGGCGGCGGCCAGAAGCCGAGATGCGGCGCGGGGCTCCCGGCGGGTCCCGGGCCAGCAAACTCGCGGGCGGCCCCGCGCGTCGCTGACCCCGCGCGAGTCCGAGGGCTGTGCCGGCCCCGCCCGCCTCCGCCCCCTCCCGCGCCCGCCGCGCGCCCCTCCCCGCGGCGGCAGCGGCGGCGGCGGCGCATCCAGGGGCGGCGCGGAGCGGCTCGCCCAGCCGCCAGTGCCTGCGAGCTCCAGGCTGCTTGGGGAATTCACTTTGCCGCTTGGACGCTTCTCCCTCCTAGGGCTTCTCCTGGTGGCTCTCCGGCTTCGACCCTCCCCTTTTCTTTTAGACGGAAAACTTCGCTGCTGTTTCTTTTTCCTCTTGGAGGACAGGATTAAAAGTTCCCAGAACTGGTGCTGCCTGTGCCGCTCGGGCGCTGGAACAGCTCTTGCCCGTGGGGTTCCGGTGCCACCATGTGCACCAACATAGTTTACGAGTGGCTGAAAGCGCTGCAGCTCCCACAGTACGCCGAGTCCTTCGTGGATAACGGCTACGATGATCTGGAGGTGTGCAAGCAGATCGGGGACCCGGACCTGGACGCCATCGGGGTGCTGGCGCCCGCGCACCGCCGCCGCATCCTGGAGGCCGTGCGCCGGCTGCGGGAGCAGGACGCCGCGGCCGCCGGCCTCTACTTCACGCTCGAGCCGCAGCCGCCGCCCGCGCCGCCCGCCGTCGCCGTCCCCACCGGCCGCCGGGGGGAGCAGTGCGGCGGCCCGGCTCCGGGCCCCCGCGGGGACCCCCGCGGCCAGACGGCCGCCCCCCGCAGCAGGGAGCTGGTGAGCTACCCCAAACTGAAGCTGAAGATCATGATCAGGGATAAGCTCGTCCGCGACGGTATCCACCTGAGCAAGCCCCCGTACTCCCGCAAGGTAAGGAGGCGCCGCCCGGACCGCGCGGGGCGCGCGGCGGGAGGGGACACGGCCCAGCCGCTGCAGCCCATTCCAGGTGACGACGGGGAGGCAAGGATGCTTGGGGTACTTGGGATCTTGTCTCTTTCTGTGTTCGCTCTTTATGCTTTCTTTCCTGGTGTCACCAGCGGCTGGTAAGGCAAGATCCCACACCCAGGAGTCAGTTCTAAACTAGGACCAAGACTCCGCTTAATGTCTGGTGCTCTACTGTGGAGAACTGGACGAGCGGCCCTACTCCAGGAGCAAAGGGCAACTCCGGATCCCCCCCACTCCCCGTAGCAGTGCTTAGGTCTGAAGGGTACTGGAACGGTTAGTCCTACAGGCGTTCCCTATCTTTTGGAGAAACTTCCAAAGGGAAATTGGCCAAGTCTTCAAAGAGTGGGAAATCGGACCCTGTTGCTATCAGTTCCATACAGTCGAATGCCTTCACTGCTGCAAATTTGAAAAGTGAACCACTGACATGGACATTCTGGGGGAAGAGTTAAGTGTCAGTCCACTTGGGCTAGTTTCTTCAACTTAAGTACAGGGAGGGAATCCGTGCTGAAGACGTTGGACATAATGGGACCAGTGAGGGGGTACTGCTGAGCTCTTTGCTGGGTCACCAGTTTAGTTTACTATTAATCCAGATGAGACGAAGAAGGCACAACTATTCTAGAAAGTCTGAGTGGACTCCCCTTTGGGAGGAGAGAGCACAGCTCAAGGAAGTGAGATTTTCTGTGGCCAGTGAGGAATCCCTGGGGAGGAATCACAGGGAAGGAGCTGGGAGTTTATGAAAGCTACTGAAATATGGACTTGGGCGTAGAATAATTAAGTAACAGAAAGTCTTGTTTTCATACAAGAGCTGTCCCTCCAGATAAGTGTGTAGGCTTCTGGAGTCATCCAAGTATAGGGTCCTGCCTTGAAAGGGAGAACTAGGCACCACAGGTAATCCCCAAGCCTGCTTGGAATTTCCCAGGAAAAGGAGCCCCTCAGTTGGAAATCATATAGAGAAGCCCAGAGGGAAAAGGTGGTGAAGAAGCTACAGCTGGGGGCGGGGGAGGGGGAGGAACAGCTGTGAACACGGCACCTGAACAGGGAAATGAGGATTATCGAAACGTTTTGTGCTCATCTTAGTCACCTGAGTTGCTTTATATTCTTAATTAATGGTCAGAATGTCTGGATTTAAGGAAGGGCAAGTGAAAACTTTCTAAAAAGTGGTTAAGGTAGATAAGAATGAAGGGTTTAATATTGTCCATACGTTATCTGCAAGAAAGGTAAGCAATTCAGATACTGTGCTTGGTAGTATACATTTGTTTTATAAAAATAAATAGGCAGGTCTGAAGGACAGTTTGCCTCACGTTAAACACATTATTTCAGTTACCCACTCTGTGTTACTGATGTGTGGCCCAAGCGGGAAGACAGAGGAAAGCACACTTTTCCCAAGCAGGCAGCGTTAGTTATGTCTGGTGTGGATGGGCGGGCTGGAATAAGGCTCATTCCTGGAGATAGCAGGTCAGAAGAGTTCAGCCCGGTCACACTCTTGTGATTTGCTTCCCAGGAAGTGAATTGGGTGTGAGCTGAGAAAATATGAGCATGTGGGCACACGCTAAGGGGGTAAGGGTGCAGGTCGAGGTCTGGCCGGAAAGGGCTATAGAGAATAAGGTGTGTCCCTGGGGCTTGCTTATTTTTCAGGACCAGAGCTGTGATCAGGCAAGGGGGCAGAAGAGAGGGTGGGCTGGAGCGGAGAGTGGTGTTCTTCTGATACTTAAAAACACAGGCATAGATAGCAAACTTCAGAAGCTGAGAAAGATTCTTGTATGGACATGAAATGTGTGGGTGTAGGCTTCGGATGGTACCCGCCTGCCTAGATCAGCGTGTGATATGGCAGTGCGTTTGAGCAAGTGTGATTTACACAAGAAGATTTCACCTTGTGTCGTAATACTGTTTTCTTTCTGTGTAAATGATTACTTCAGTCAACTTCTATATGAATCCTATAACAATGTTTGATAATAAAGATACACCTAATTCACTTTCCGTACACACTTAATTCTGGGTCTTGAACAGATCAAAGACTAGAGTGGGGGCAGAAGTAGTTTCGTACCTCCATTGGTATTCTGCCCGTGAATCCAAAAAAAAAAAAAGATGGCAAATTAAATTATAAAAAAAGAAAAACAAAGATCTATTCCTGTAGTTTTCTATATCTGCTATAAGAAAAATCCAGTTTGTTTCAAGAAAAACACAGAATAGGAACTGAAATATAATTACCGTATCCCAAACTGAGCATTCAGGTGTACAGTGCCAGATCACGTGGGTCATTCTGAATTTGTTGCTTATGTGTTCATTGCCTCTAAAGTTTTGTGTTTTAAATTATTTGAGAATTGTCTTCTGATGCAGCTTGTTTCTGTGTAGATAGTGCCAGGACTTTTCTTTAAACTGTGATCCACATTATATATCTCTGGGTTCCTTGCCTCTGTCATGATCAGAATGTGTAGCTAGCTGTTCATTACGCGCATCGGGATTCTGCTTACTTGAGCAAGCCTCACTTCACCTTTATAGTCATTTGCATCATCAATCCCTGTGATTTTGTGTGTGTGTGTGTGTGTGTGTGTGTGTGAGACTATTGGATGGCTTGAAAGTGGATTTATACCCTGGATGGTCAAGGCAGGAATAGCAAATCTTTATAGAGGAAGGTAAACTGAGGAGTTTTCCTAAGAATGACCAGAAAGGGCTTTAGGACTGTAGAATTTGCTTCAGGAAGAGTTAAGGTTTGGGCTGTTGTGCTGCTGGCCTGGCCTCATCTTACCAGGTGCTGCCACTCTCCCCTCTTAGGTGAGTTGCAGTGTAAGTAAAAGGTAAGTTTCTTTTTGTTTTCCAAAGACAGTAATTAAAATCTAAGTTCAAAGTAAGTTCTCCATTGTTTTTCCAAAGAAAGTAATTAAAATGTACGTTCAAAGTAAGTTCCCCTTTGTTTTCCAAAGCAAGTCTGCAGCTTTGGAAAAGCAGGAGCCTGGAAAGAACTCTGCTTGAAATCAAAAAGCAGTAGACAAGTCCCTTTTCTATCCTGTGTATAGCTTCTGTGACTGCTGTGATTGCTGCCTTAGCAGGATGGGGATATGTTTTCATAGGGTAGGAATTAGATAGAGCTCTGTGCATATGATCTCAGTTCTTCACCAGGCTTCCCTACAAGCCTCAAGGCTCGAGGTTGTTGTGCTTGGCAGGATGCAGAAGCCCCGCCCTCACAGAACTTGGGGTGTAGCAGGGAAGACCTACAGTGGAATGAACAGTCATGCTAAAGTGTGATGATTGCTTCGGTGGGGAGTGCATGATGCTGTGGGCAGGTGCATCTAACTTCATTTACAGGGAGGTGGGCCGGAGCAGGCTTTCCAGAACTGGCATTTAGTCAGAGAACTGAAGGTTAGGAAAGTTTGGCCCTAGAAAGAGCAGGGTTCTAAGATAGAACAGTATGTGCAAAGGCCAGGAAGGCAGGAAGTTGAGTGGGCAACAGGAATTGAAGGGAACTCAGTCTGCCTGGAGCACAGAATGCTTGGAGGAAAAGGCAAGAGTTGGAAAGACACTCAGTGGCTGGTCCTGGATGGCCTTGACCTCCTGTTTAGGAATTTGGAGTGTATCTTGAGAGGGAGCTGTTGGTGGATCCTGAGCAGAGGCAGGGTGAACAGTTAGGTTGTTGGAGAGTCCAGGGAGATTTGCAGGTGGCCTGGACTGGGGGAGTGAGTCGGGGAGGAGCAGTGGAGGTAATTGAGAGGTGGAATGGACAGAACTTGATGACAGTTTGGATGCCAGGGCTGTGAGGGGAAAGCTCGGGGTGACATGCAGATTTCCGGCTTAGGATTGCAATGCTATTCCCTGACGAGGTAGAGGACCCGAGAGAAGAGCACATCTGGGGAGAAAGATGTTGCCTCCAGAGTATGTTTACTCCCTTAGAAATCCACTTGCGTTCCACCTGTTCATCCTCCCCAGAACCCCTGGTGACCACTGATCTTTCTCCTGTTTTGACGGTTTTGTCTTTCCTGGAACATCCACGGTTGGAAGCATACAGTATGTAGTTTTTTCCCTTGGTAATGTGCACTCACTGGTCCTGCGTGTCTCCTTCTGGCTCAGCAGCTCATTTCTCTGAGTCTGAATAGCATCCCATTCTCTGGATGTACCATGACAAGCTTCTAATGAAGTCTGGCTGAGAACACGGACCTAAGGCTACGGCTGGAGAAGAAGGGAGACTAAGTCAAGGGAAGGGTTTTGCGGAGTTACTTTTTTGAAGGATGAGAGGAGCTCAACACTCCTGTCTGAGTGTTGGTGGTGGAGAGCCAGAGACAGGGAGATGTCCCACAGGCCAAGGTCTTGGAGGAGGTGGGAGGGAATTGTGCCCAAAGCACTAGAAGGAGGTAGATTTGCTTCTAGGGGAGAGGGGTGCGTCCTCCATAGTAGGAAGGGGCAGAGGAAGGATGGCTGAGGTGGGGTGACATTGAGGAGCCCTTGTGTGTCTCTCTGACCATCTGATACCAGTGAGCGGGGAGGTGGAGAGATTAGAGGTGTATGGAGAAGGTTGTGTTCATATACAAATATTGGGTGCTATGATCCGGTGCGTATGGCTATACCTAGCATAAACATGAAGCAGTAGTGCTTCTAGGATATATGTAAGCCCACGTATATAGACAGTGTCCTCATCGTTCTCGTGTACGGGGTGCAGGCGGCAGGCTACATGTGAGGCTGTATCAAGCCCTGGGCTGTGTAGCAGTGCCGGGAAAGGCGGTGGGGTAGGTGGGAATACCGCAGGGCTCTAAAGGCGTTGTGTTTACTAGCAGACTTGGAAAAGCAGAAAGCAGGTCTTCAGGCAGATAGCGGATGGGGCAGGCTTCTCCACTTCTTCACTTGAAACATATCTCCTTGGCATACATTGCCCTTTAACACTGTTTGAATTAGTATAACCTTATTTAATAATGCCGTAAGAGCGTTAGGCTTCATTC